TTTCATTTATAATTAAATTTCCATTGTGGAGAGTGATCTAGAATTTTTGAACTGTTGCCCTAACTTAGCGGGTTTTAACTATTGAGTCTACCTTCCAAGCCTGAGAAAAACAGAAGAACACAGATAGGGGGAGGAATTTGTTGGATTTAGAGATAAACTAATTTTTTGAGTTTCTTTCTCTCCACAAATTTTAAGAGAGAAAAAATTCAATAATTACTGGTTATGTAGGGATGTTATTATCAGATCCATGACTTCGAACCAGTTCACATAGGTGGAGCTTCGAAGATTGAAGACTTGCGTAAGCTCTGTCCAGCTCAAAAATTCATGTACAATTTTTGCTATATTAGTGGATTGCATCTTGATGTGGTATACTCACAGTTCTTGCAGTTCATGACAATGAGAGAGAATGGTGGCCTCAAACTCGCTGATTGGTCATAAGATGTAGGGACTGAAATACTTGAACGAGAATTTTATGGAGTTGGAGCTTCTTTCTTTCAGATTTCTATCAGAACTTGATGATGATGTCCATTGTGAACTCTTTCTTCAGGTAAATATTTACATGTGCATATATGGATGGATGTGTGTGTGTGTGTGAAAAAAAAAACTAGCAATTGAAATCCACATTGTTTTTTTGATTTTCAGTATTACCGAGAAAGTCAAAAAATCATCTCATCCGAGCTTTAGTATTCACCGATGTGGTTTAGTCCATGTGAACTTTGCAGTTTTCAGAAATCGAAGTAACATAACTACATAGGTCATCAGGCTCGAGTTTCTTTTCCTCTTTGATTCTACTTCTTTCTCTTATTCCATAGGTTTTGGGTGGCAAAGACAAATTTTTTTTAAAATTTGGGATTGGGTTTTTCCATTTTTTGTTAACCAATTCGAAATTCTGTTCTTGTACTTATCATTTTTTTTTGTCTTCTATGCTTATTAGTTTTTCAGTTTTTTGTATTCTCTGCAATCCCATCTGAGTCTAAGAAAAGGACGTGGTGCAAACAACTCATGAACATTCCTTAAATCTACTATTTTCTAAATTGCATCACATGGTAAGAGAATCCAGCATCTTATGTTTCACGTATCAATAAATACCTTGCATAAGTGTATTCTTAAAATGATACCTTCCTATAGACCCTTCAACTAATGACCTCTTTTAAATTGTGAAGGATGGAGTTCTGATTTGGTGATCATCTCCCACTTGTTGTGCTTTTTGTTTGCATATGTGTCTAAAGATTTCCCTTCATATTTCAAGATTGTTGTATATTTTTGTTGGTTCAATTCATAGTTATTAAATCGTGTATCGGAAGCCGTATCGTTTTTTAAAAATAGTGTATTGTAAGATACAGTGCAATTTTAAATAAATAATAAAAAAAATATATATACTTTGAAAAAAAATCTTACACGCATAAAAATATAACATCTCATTAATACTCCACCACCTATTCAAGTCATCAACATAGTTCACTAATATTATAATGCAAAATTTACAACCATAGTACACTAATTCAAACTTCAGACACCAAAGAGACTTTTAATCCAAATTTATAACATCTATTTTGAACTCAATCCATAAAATTAATCAAGATTCATAAATTTTTATACAAAAAAAAAAAATTAGTGTCTTATTTAGACAAAACGACGTCGTTTCAAAAAAAAAAAATAGGTTTTGCGCGTATCGGTCGTATCGTACCAATACGTATCGTATTGTAAAAATGTATCGTGTATCGGACGATACGACGCAAAAACGATTCATAACTACGATCCGTATCTTTTTACCTCCGTATCGTACGATACTAACAACTATGGTTCAATTAATTAGAAGCATTTTGTGTCGTGCAATAAGCTTTTATCAATGTGACAGTCCAGCACACAACCGATGAATGGGCGTTCAATAGTGAGGGAGTACTCAATCCGTGAGAGAGGAATGGGAATGATACCCTATGCCTCAACTCTGCCATGGCGTAGCAACAAAAGGACTCAGGATTTGATTGAACGAAGCGTTAGTAATGATTTTATTTTATAGATGAATGCTCTCTTGTGGAGTGAAACTTCTGATATCCTGCATTCCTTATGTGGACGTTCAGAATGTCATTTGGGTCAAGACTTTTTGCCTCGTGGATCTGGTAATTAATGCTGCTAGTATTTCCAATGTTACATGTATAATTGTACGGGTATAATGATATGAATCCATATGTAAATCCCTTTACCATGAGCATTAGATTGATGTGCTCATGTCTTATGCAGGGATTGTTACTCGACAACCTCTTGTTTTACTGCTCCAAAGGTTTGATGAAGGAACAGAATATGTGGAATTTTCTCATGCCCCAAGAAAGAGGTCCTCTGATTTTGATAAGTATTGTTAGGATACCAATTGCTCAGAAATATACATTGTGCATGTTAGTTTGTTTCTGCCTAAGATTCTAAGTACTTGCCTTACCGTCAAGTGTATCCCAGTGTAGTGCTAGCCCTATCTATTCCCTCTATGGTTCATATGCATCTGTAGGTTTATTTATCAGTGGTTTTCTTTGTCATCTGTCTCAGATGCTAAATTCGGTTTTTATTTTGTATGGCTGTTGTTGGAAAGGAGATCGCTGATGAGACAGATAGAGAAACAGGCAGCACTAAACAAATTTCCAGTGTTCCAATCTACCTTAGTATTTATACCCCTAATGGTGATATAGATTTGGTGCTCATTTTCGTTTTGCAATCTAATTGTCTGTGCGTGGTAAATCCTAATCACAAAGAAGGTTGGTTTGTTTACATGCCTTTTTATATGAGTACTAGTTGAGGACATTATAAATTAAAATTGGATTACACAACCACTAAAACTGAGGCTTAAAATCTTGTGAGAGTTCTAGGGCTAGCAACCTTGATAACGAAAACCATGTGGTTAAAAAATAACAAGTCCACGGAGAGGAAATATAGGTTATCTAATTGAAATGGACATCAATATTGATTAACATGTAAGCCAGGAAAGGATGGAATGAGAATCAACAACTTCGTGAGACAAGAATCAAGATGTGAATACATTGTTTTACGTGATTTAGCCATTTTTAAGATCTTGCTAATTTTACATTTGGTTTATTGTTACTTGAACTTTGTGCTTGAAGGGCTAATTGTACACCTGCTTCTCCCTCTTTCAGAGTAGGATAGCTCTGCAGTGATGAATTCGGGAAGCCAGAGCCATATAGGAAGTTTTGAAGTACATGTCCTTGATCCTTTTATCCTTGATGAGTGTAGAACTTGCTTGTAAGAACTACCTTTAGCTTTCTGAATAACCATTTCTTGCTTGCAGTGGTCATGCTGCAGACTGATGCTTAAAGCCTATTACTTGTTTGGCGTAATGTAGTTATTGTCCTCTGAATGCAAATTTAATCTGAGTGTGATTTGAATTGCTTATTAAGTTGGTTTTATGTGGCCCAATTTCAAATTGCAACTACAGTTTATGGTTTAGATATGAACTGTGATTTTGAAGGAAAATAGTTTGTTAAATGGAATTTTCCTCCATGAGCTGCTTAGTGCTGTACAGCCTCAAGTGGTCAATCGGAGTCATGTTACAAAAGGAGAAAAGGGTATGCCGTCTTCTAATTTATGCAATGAAAAGCTTCTAAATTTTTTTTACTAGTTGTTCATAATATTGCTTAAAGATCTTCTTTGTCATTGCTTATTTTATTTATTCAAGCCATATGAAGCAACATTGCATTATGCTTTGTATGGAGGACAGTGTATGATTTGATTCATTGCATCTTGAAACGCTATGCATGCATGTGTGTCCCTTTATCCATATGTATTTTTCATTAAAAGTTTTGTGGAAGTGAAAAGTTATATTGAGATTGGAGTCGAATTCTGTCTTTGTCCTCTGGGCTCTTTAATTATGCAGCTAAAGCATGTACTGAGTTGTCCATAGTTGATCATTTCAGAGGCAGGGAAGTGTTGTCAATTGTTTTGAATTTACAACTTCGAAATTTCTTTTTTCCGTTTGTTTGTATGTAATTGCTAAACCTTTAGGTGCATTTGGAGCATAATTAGATTTTGATATAATAAAGGAGGTCTTGAAAATAATATATTCTACATAATGTACATGGACGGGTACAAAATCATGTACATTCTTTATGGAAGTATTTTTCTAGCTGTCTGGGATTGTGCTAGCCATTTTTGTGTGATACTATTGGTTCTTGCTTGTCTTTGGCTTCATTTCACTACTAAGATACTTGAAACTGATTCTTTTCTTCTTTAAAATTTGGGGTAATGTAGAGGAGGAGAAAAAGATGATTGCAACCGACATCATCAGTAATGCGAGGAAGCTTGGATGTTCAATATTTTTCTTCCTGAAGGCATAACTGAGGTAATTTAAAACCTTTTAGAGGGTTGTTTTAGTTCTAAAGTTCGACTTCTTGAGGCCTCAAGGTGCAATTATGTTTGAGATGGAACTAAATTTGTAATCCAACTCATGGAAACAAGTGCTTCCATATAGTGGGACTTCCAGCCAATCTATGGTGCTTTGCTGGGAATTTAGGAAGAGTCCCTTGGGGTTTTTTTGGGTAAATGGTTTAACAGTTCTTGAATAAATACGCATGATCCCCATTAGGTCCGTCCAAGTCCACAGACCAAATCCAATACATTTATCTGAGCATGTCTCGTTTAAGCTTTGGATACGTAAGAATCAAATTGTTAGCTTATGATTTTGATTTACAAAGGTACTGTATCCACTAAAGTGGATAGCACATGGTTCAACTGTTGCACTCTAGTGGCATCGCCCTCTTTCACAGGTATTTCATCACCCCATAACATGATCTGAATTCTCTTTAAATGGATGCCTTCCTATAGGATCCTTCAACTAATGACCTATTTGAAATTGCGAAGGATGGAGTTCTTATTTGGTGATCATCACCCACTTGTTGTGGTTCTTGTACCCATATATATGTCTAGAGATTTCCCTTTATTTTTCAAGATTGTTGTATATTGTTGTTGGTTCAATTAATTGGAAGCATTTTGTGTCATGCCGTACGCTTATCAATGTGGTAGTCCCGGGCACAACTGATGAACGGGCCATCAACTAGAGAGTACCCAATCTGTGAAAAAAATGGGAATTATACCCTATGCCTCAACTCTGCCTTGGAGTGGCAACAAAGGGACTCCGGATTTGATTGTATGATTGTTTTTTACGGATTGATGCTCTCTTATGGAGTGAACTTCTAATATCCCACATTCCTTAGTGGGTGTTTCAGAATGTCATTTATGTTTGTGTACTATTTTAATCTTGGTGCCACCGTTTCTTGTATTTCTTTGGGTGATTCCTTTTCCCTTAGTTCTTCACATTATCCTTAATCCTGAATACTACGAATATGAAGTAGTTTTAGACGTTCTACTGCCTTAATCCTGAATACTATGAATATGAAGTAGTTTTAGATGTCTACTGTTTGGTGCTTTGGTTAGTTAATTTGGTAACTGATTGGGCTGTGTAAGCTTAATTAGCTTCATGAATTCTGTCAATAGAACTTGGAATTGGTTAGTTTGGTTGGATCAGTTCAGATCTTGAAGTATAATCTGTCTGATGGGTTATTTAGCAGAAGGTTTAGGTTAAATTGTACAAAGCTGGGAGACTAAGCAACCCATCAGTTTTTCAACCCATTTTGCTAAATCTGATGATCAAAACCCCCTGTTTTCTCTAATTCTTCTTGTTCCTTCTTCCTTTTGGGTTGATTTTATTTAGTTGAATTATGTACCGTCATTTTTGTTTTGGATGATTCATGGTTGTAATTGTTACTCAATTATAATATACAGGTCTGGTAATCACTGGAATTGACATTAAATTTTATTTTGTTTCGGAGACATCTTGTACTTGGATTAATATCTCAGATCATTAAGGTGAGATTCTTGAAGTATTCACTTATCCAAAATTTAGGAGATGTTGGATTCCCAAAGCTTTTTATAACATGGATCCCTTTGTCTGATATTAAATATTATCTACATAAGAATTTACTGTGCATTTTGGATTAAATTTGACTTTGGCTAATGCATGTTATTCCTAGATACAACTGCTGGCAGACCTCAATTTGAAGATTGATCGATGACGGTGAGGTGAAAAATGTTCTTTCACCACCTTTGGTCCTGCACCAACTAGTAGAATTATGGCATGTGTTGCAATCTGATTTTTTCGGACGTGGAGGAGCTGATGAGCCTATCACCTGAGAAAATCTTGCTGAGGTGGATGAATTTTCAACCGAAGAAAGTGGGATACAAGAGAAATAGTCACAAACTTCTCTTCAGATGTGAAGGTAGAACTTCAAATTGTGATCATTTTCTTTTCTTTTCTTTTGTGCAAAATACTACTTCTTGTTACCAATGAGCTTAGTTGAATGCATTTAAAAAATTCAATTATATTGAGGATTCTTTGATTTTTTTGGCCCATTCGAATGCTTGGGTAGAAATGACCCGATACTTCTTGTATCATATATTGATTTGAAATTTTTCTGTAGTCCTTTGCAAACTCTATTTATCGGCTTTTACTTCCTTTGGATGGTGCTCATGCTGCCTTCTGTGAAAAAGTTGCTGCAGCTATGTCCAAGGTCTTCAACAATGCATTGAAACAGGTATTGCAGAGGTCTGTACTTCAAGATTTTGTAGCTTATCCTCAGGTTTATGCGTGCTAAAGCAGGACATTTCTTTCATTAAGTGGCTCAATTAAATAAATTGTTCTTCAGCTATACTTCTGCTTTGTCTTACTGTGACAAGTAGTCGGTTAAATCTGGAAAGGCACTTAGGTCTTGCGTGTTTATTCGGTTCTTTTGCTAGTCATCATATTTTAGACGTGAATATTTTTCATTAGCTAGCTGATGCAGGTAGAGCAAAGGCTCTCAGCTGAACAAAAGAGTAAAAAAATATCAATCATCTTCTGATGGCGTCGCTCCTGATCATCGACCTACCAATGCCTACACAAGGTTTGTCCAACTTGACAACCATGGAACTTTAATTGAAAAAAAATTGCTAATGTGTGAGAACGTTTCTGGAAACTGAATCAGTATTGAATTTAATGTTTACAGAGTTACTAGAGTAGTTTGTGTCATAGTTCACCATCTAGCTTGTACAAGCTCCTTCAATGCCTTCTGAAATTGGTTTTCCCATTTAAACCTTTTATACACAACTTGCTTTTGTTGCTTTAGCCTTCAATCCCAAGTAACAACTTTCTTTAATTTATCACAGTCTACTCATCATGTTGAAAAGTTTGATGTCTGCATCATAATAATATCTTGTTAGCAATCATCATAAAATCACACTATTCACAGGTGTACTTAAATAATGCGAGTCGTGTTGTTGCCTTTTTAATTATTGATGTCAAATTTTCTCATTCATTAGCCATGTTTAATCTCTAGAAACAAGTTGTTACCTCGAGGTTATATAACAGTGATCTCTCGAAACAAGCTGTTGTTACCTCAAGGTTATATAACAATGTGACTAGTACTTCTAATAGGTTCTGGTTGTGACATGAACTATCCTTCTTAATTAAATATTTCCGGAAGAGAAGATCTATAGGCTAAGACTAAGTACACATGTAGGAATGACAATCCTTATTTATTAGTAACCAATCTGCCTACAAATTAGTTGGTTGGGTACAAAATTTATATTTGAGGGTTAGAAATGAGTTTAGTACTACCATAAAATTAGTAAATTGGGTTAGATACATATGTCCAATGGATTGAACATAAGTCCACTATTGAACATATGTCCACTTCTCCACTATTGCAAACAGCCCCACCACCATCCTAATAATAAGATAGCACTCACACTCCTCAACGAGTAACTGAAGATTCCATTTACACATATCAAACATTTAAAGATACATGTTCTCCAGTAGATCAATTGAAGTAAATGTCAGTTAGATATGGATAGATTACTCAAAGTCTATATTTATTAGTGGGTTTGTGTGTGTATTTTTATTCTTTTACAACTATGTGTATTTGATATTGCGTTTTGTTGTGAATTTGTGTGTCTATTTTTTTTATCACTATGATTTTCCGGATATAGTGTGAATTTTTGTAGTTTTTTTTATTGGGGGAGAGGGGGGGGGTTGTTTTTATGTGCACTATGTGTTTGTGTATTTCGTTCTTATATGGTGTTTTTGTGTATGTTTTTTTTTGCTAGTGTATTGGGTGGGGTGTGTAGGTTTTTACTACAATGTTTCTTATTTTTCTTTTTCCACATTGCTTTTATGTATGTCTTACCGTGAGTATTTTTTATGTTATCAAATGTGTTTATGTGTGTGTTTTCATGTGTTAGTGCCTGCACTTTTATCACATGTCTCTATTTGTATTTTATGAATACCTGCCTATGTTAATGTTTTTAACTCGTTTTTTACTCATTTTTTATGGGTTTACGAATTTAATCCAACTTGTTATGATCAAATTCGTAAATAACTCATTTGTTAAATGGTTTGAAAATGAGTTGGATTTGGATTACAACCTACTCGTCATCAATCCACACACAAGTAGTCCAACTCGTAATTTGCCTCCTTTATTTTCGTGTGCTTTGCACTCGTGAATTGTTTAGATCTAGACATAGTGAAGTTGATAGAACTACTAGAGGAATTTACGTCTTACATTGTATTTTGCTTTTTTCAAATTGTTTTTCTGTATAATGTGTTATCATGTATATTTTTTTATGTTATCTATATGTTTTTATATGTTTGTGTGTTTTGTTCATATATAGTGTTTTTGTGTATGTTTTTCTTTGTAAATGTATTGGGTGGGGTGTGTAGGTTTTTACTACAGTGTTTTTATATTTTTCTTTTTTCACATTATTTTTTCTAAATAATGTGTTATCGTGAATATTTTTTATGTTATCTATGTGTTTATGTGTGTGTTTTTATGTGTTAGTGCGTGTATTTTTATCATGTGTGTCTTTGTTTGTATTAATGAGTGCTTGCCTATGTTAATATTTTTTTACGGGTTTACAAATTTAATCCAACTTGTTATGGTCAAATCTGTTATAACTCATTTGTTAAACAGTTTGAAAATGAATTGGATTTGTATTATAACCTACTCGTCACCAATCCACCCACAACTAGTCTAACCTGTAATTTGCCTCATTTTTCTCTATGTGCTTTGCACTTTCGAATTGTTTAGATTTAGAGATAGTGAAGTTGATAGAACTACTAGAGTAGTTTGCGTCTTACATTGTATTTTTCTTCTTTCAATTTGTTTTTTTGTATAATGTGTTATCATGTGTATTTTTTTTTGTTATCTATATGTTTTGACGTGCACTATGTGTTTGTGTGTTTCATTCTTATATGGTGTTTTTGTGTATGTTTTTTTTGTGTGTATTGGGTGGGGTGTGTAGGTTTTTACTATAGTGTTTCTATATTTTTCCTTTCCACATTGTTTTTTTTGTATAATGTGTTACCATGAATGTTTTTAATGTTATCTATTTGTTTATATGTGTGTTTTATGTGTTAATGCGTATAGTTTTATCATGTGTCTTTGTAAGTATTTTATGAGTGCTTGTCTATATTAATGTTCTTTTATTATTTTTTACGGGTTTATGAAATTAATCTAACTCATTATAGTCAAATCTATTATAACTCATTTGTTAAACGGTTTGAAAATGAGTTGGATTTGGATTACAACCTATTTGTCATCAATCCATCCACAACTATTCCAACCGTAATTTGTCTCCTTATCTTTGTGCATTGCACTCGCGAATTGTTTATATCTAAAGATAGTGAAGTTGACAGAACTATTAAAGTAGTTTGGGTCTTACATTGTATTTTTCTTTTTCAATCTGTTTTTCTATATAATGTGTTATCATGTGTATTTGTTTTTGTTATCTATTATGTTTTTATGTGTACTGTGTTTGTGTGTTTCGTCCTTGTATGGTATTTTTGTGTATGTTCTTTTGTAAGTGTATTGGGTGGGCTGTGTAAGTTTTTATTATAATGTTTTTGTATTTTTCTTTTTCTACTTTGTTTTTCTGTATAATGTGTTGTCGTGAGTATTTTTTTAGTTATCTATGTGTTAATGTGTTTGTTTTTATGTGTTGGTGTGTGTATTTTTTATCTTGTGTCTCTGTTTGTATTTTATGAGTGTTTGTCTATGTTAATGTTTTTCTTATTTTTTTTTCGGGTTTACGAATTTAATCCAACCTTTTATGTTCAAATTTGTAAATAACTCATTTGTTAAAAGATTTGAAATTTAGTTGACTTTGGATTATAACTTACTCATTATCAATCCACCCACAACTAATCCAACCATAATTTGCCTCCTTTATCTTCATGTACTTTGCACTCTCGAATTATTTAGAACTAGACATAGTGAAGTTTATAGAACTACTAGAGTAGTTTGCGTCTTACATTTTATTTTTCTTTTTTCAATTTATTTTTCTGTATAATGTGTTACCATGTGTATTTTTTTGTGTTATCTATATGTTTTTATGTGCACTATGTGTTCGTGTGCTTCATTTTTATATGGTGTTTTTGTGTATATTTTTTTTTTATAAGTGTATTTGGTGGGGTGTGTAGGTTTTTAATACAGTGTTTTTGTATTTTTTTTTTTCACATTATTTTTTTGTATAATGTGTTATCGTGAATATTTTTTATGTTATCTATGTGTTTATGGGTGTGTTTTTATGTGGTTGTGCGTGTACTATTATCACGTGTGTCTGTTTGTATTTTATGAGTATTTGCCTATGTTATTGTTTTTTACTTATTTTTTTACAGGTTTACGAATTCAATTCAACTCGTTATGGTCAATCTTTTATAACTAAACGGTTTGAAAATGAGTTGGATTTGAATTACAACCTACTCGTCACCAATTCACCCACAACTAGTTCAACCTGCAATTTTCCTTCTATTTCTCCGTATACTTTGCACTCACGATTTGTTTAGATCTAGAGATAGTAAAGTTGATAGAACTACTAGAGTAGTTTGCGTCTTACATTGCATTTTTCTTTTTTCAATTTTTTTTTCTGTATAATATTTTATCATGTTTATTTTTTTTTGTTATCTATTTGTTTTGATGTGTACTATGTGTTTGTGTGTTGTTTCATTCTTATATGGTGTTTTTGTGTATGTTTTTTTTGTATGTGTATTGGGTGGGGTGTGTAGGTTTTTACTACAGTGTTTCTGTATTTTTATTTTTTCACATTGTTTTTTTGTATAATGTGTTACTGTGAGTATTTTAATGCTATCTAGGTGTTTATGTGTGTTTTGTTATGTGTTAATGCATGTACTTTTATCATGTGCATCTCTGTTTGTATTTTATAAGTGTTTGCCTATATTAATATTTTTTTACTTATTTTTTACGGGTTTATGAATTTAGTCTAATCCATTATGGTCAAATCTGGTATAATTCATTTGTTAAACGTTTTGAAAATGAGTTTGATTTGAATTACAACTTACTTGTCATCAATCCACCCACAACTATTCCAACTCGTAATTTGCCTCCTTATCTTTGTGTGCGTTGCACTTGCGAATTGTTTAGATCTAGAGATAGTGAAGTTGATAGAACTGCTAGAGTAGTTTGGGTCTTACATTGTATTTTTCTTTTTTCAGTTTGTTTTTCTGTATAATGGGTTATCATGTGTATTTTTTTGTTATCTATATGTTTTTATGTGTACTGTGTTTCTTTCTTATATGGTGTTTTTATGTATGTTCTTTTTGTAAGTGTATTTGGTGGGGTGTATAGGTTTTTATTAAAGCGTTTCTGTATTATTCTTTTTCCACATTGTTTTTCTGTATAATGTGTTATCGTGAGTATTTTTATGTGTTAGTGCGTGTACTTTTATTATGTGTGTCTCTGTTTGTATTTTATGAGTGCTCGCCTATGTTAATGTTTTTTACTTATTTTTTTACGGGTTTAAGAATTTAATCCAACTTGTTATGGTCAAATCTGTTATAACTCATTTGTTAAATGGTTTGAAATTTAGTTGGATTTGGATTACAACCTACTCATCACCAATCCGCCCACAACTAGTCCAACCCGCAATTTACCTCCTTTTTTTTCCGTGTGCTTTGCACTCGTGAATTGTTTACGTCTTACATTGTTTTTTTCTTTTTTCAATTTGTTTTTCTGTATAATGTGTTACCATGTGTATTTTTTTTTGTTAGCTATATATTTTTATGTGTTCTATGTGTTTGTGTGTTTCGTTCTTATATGGTGTTTTTGCGTATGTTTTTTTTTATAAGTGTATTGTAGGTTTTTACTATAGTGTTTTTGTATTTTTTTTTCCACATTATTTTTCTGTATAATATTTTATCGTGAGTATTTTTTATGTTATCTATGTGTTTATGTGCGTGTTTTTGTGTTAGTGCATGTACTTTTATCATGTGTCTCTGTTTGTATTTTTTGAGTACTTGTCTATATTAATGTTTTTTACTTATTTCTTTACGGGTTTACGAATTTAATCCAACTTGTTATGGTCAAATCTATTATAACTCATTTGTTAAACGATTTGAAAATAAGTTGGATTTGGATTACAACCTACTCATCACCAATCCACACACAGTTAGTCCAACCTGCAATTTGCCTCCTTTTTCTCCATGTGCTTTGCACTCCCGAATTGTTTAGACCTAGAAATAGTGAAGTTGATTGAACTACTAGAATAGTTTGTGTCTTATATTGTGTTTTTCTTTTTTCAATTTGTTTTTCTATATAATGTGTTACCCAGTGTATTTTTTTTTTGTTATCTATATGTTTTGATGTGCACTATGTGTTTGTGTGTTTCATTCTTATATGGTGTTTTTGTCTATGATTTTTTTGGAAGTATATTGGGTGGTGTGTGTAGGTGTTTACTATAGTGTTTCTACATTTTTTTTTTTCACATTGTTTTTCTGTATGATGTGTTACAGTGAGTGTTTTTAATGTTATCTATGTGTTTATGTGTGTGTTTTTATGTGTAAATGTGTGTACCTTAATCATGTGCGTCTCTGTTTGTATGTTATGAGTACTTGCCTAAATTATTGTTTTTTTTTTACTTATTTTGGATTTGGATTACAAACATACTCGTTATCAATCCGCCCACAACTAGTACAACCCGCAATTTGCCTCGTTTATCTTCGTGTGCTTTACACTTGCAAATTGTTTAGATCTAGACATGGTGAAATTCATAGAACTACTAGAGTGGGTTGTGTCTTATAATATATTTCTTTTTTTTACAATTTGTTTTTCTGTATACTGTATTACCTTGTGTATTTTGTTATGTTATCTATGTGTTTGTGTGTGCACTTTTTGTGTTTGTGTGTCTGTGTTTGTATTTTGATTAGTGCGTGTCTTTCTTAATGTTTTTTACTATTTTTTACGGGATTATGAATTCCGTTATTAACTCATTTGTTAAACTAGTTGAAAATTTATTGGATTTGGATTACAACCAACTCGTCATCAATTTGCTCACAACTAGTTTAATCCATAATTTGCCTCCTCCATATTTGTGTGTTTTGCACTTGCGAATTGTTTAGTTGTAGACATGGTGAAGTTGATAGAGTGACAAAAGTAGTTTTGTGCCTTAGTTCACCATCAAGTTGTATTAATACCTTCCAAAATTGGTTGTTTCTTGTTCATATATGCAACTTCTTTTTGTTGCTTGATGCTTTGGCCTTCAATCCAGGTAACATATTGCTTTAATTTGTCCCAGGGTGGTTATTATTGAAAGTTAGATGTATGCGTCATGCCGTTGTGGTAAAATCATGTTTGCATAATGGTTATGGAAGACCTTGTTCATCATCATAAATTTGCATTATTCATGTGTCTGCATAATATTGCGAGTCGCATTGTGGTTTGATAGGCTTGTTAATATTGATGTCAGAATTTCTCATTCGTTGGTCACTTTTAATCACTAGAAACAAAATGTTGTTATTTGGAGGCCATATTACCCATGTGACCAGCACTTCTAATATTTATTGGTTGTAACTTGAACTATCTTTCTTTATTATATTTTTCCACAAGTGAAGAGCTAGACGCTAAGACCAAGCCTACATGTAGAAGCGGCAAAAAGAAAGGATTAAGAAAGGATTAATGTCTCAGATCATGTGGCTAAGACCAAGCCTACATGTAGAAGTAGCAAAAAGAAAGAATTAATATCTCAGATCCTTAGTGAGATTCTTCAACTTCAAGTATCCACTTATCCAAAATTTTGGAGATGTTGGATTCCCAAAGCTTTGTATCACAAGGATCCCTTTGTCTTATATTAAATACTATCTACATAAGAATTTTACTGTGTATTTTGGATTAAATTGGACATGTTTAATGCATGCTATTCCTAAATACAACTGCTGGCAGACCTCAATCTGAAGAAAACACTCGGTGGAGTTGATCGATGATAGTGAGGTGAAAAATGTTCTCTTACCAGCTTTTGGTCTTGCACCAATTAGTGGAATTATGCCACGTGTTACCTCTGATGCATTTCATTATTTTATGTCAGAAACTATCAGGATGTGGAGGAGCTGATGAGCCTACCACCTGAGAAAATCTTGCTGAGGTGGATGAATTTTCAGCCAAAGAAAGTGGGATACAAGAAAATAGTCGCAAACTTCTCTTCAGATGTGAAGGTAGACTAATAGGTAGAATTTCAAAATGTGATCATTTTTTATGAGTATCCCATTTTCTTTCTAATCATCTTTTCTTGTGCTGAATTGAAATTTCTTGTTCTAAAATTTATGCCGCTGAAAACAAGTGTGGGTTTCTGCCCTTTTTATTTTATTTTCTTTTGTGCAAAATACTACTTCATGTTAGCAATGAGTTTGGATTAATGCATTTAAAAAAATTTGATTACATTGAGGATTCTTGGATTTTTTTCGCCCATTCAAATGCTTGGGGCGAAATGGCTCGATACTTCTTGAATCCTGTATTGATTTGAATTTTTTCTGTAGTACTTTGTAATCTCTGTTTATTGGCTTTTACTTCCTTTGGATGGTGCTCAAATTGCTGCAGCTATGTCTGTTGCAGAGGGTACTGCTCACAAAGGTCTTCAACAATGCATTGAAACAGGTATGGCTGAGGTCTGTAATTTAAGATTTTGAAGGGTACACTCTGGTTTATGTATGCTAAAGCAGGCCATTCTTTCATTAGGTGGCTCAATTAAATAAGTTGTTCTTCAGCTATACCTCTGCTTTGGTCTTACTGTGACAAGTAGTCAGTTAAAAATGAAAGGCACTTAGGTCACTCGTGTTTCTTCGGTTCTTTTGCTAGTCATCTCATTTTAGACGTGAATATTCTTCATTGGATAACTGATATAGGTTGATAAATGGCTCTCATCTGAACAAAAAAGTAACAGATTATCGATCATCTGATGATGGCATCACCCTTTCTTCCTTACCATGGCAAGTCTTTGTTAAATAACTCCAATGAGAAGAAAAAAGAAGACGTTAAGAGACCTTCTAGGCCCAACCCTACACACTTTAAGATCCTTTTTCAAACATGATCTCATTTCGAGTCGAGATATAGAAATATAGAAGCATTCCATTGTACTGAGTGGGGGCGTTCTTTGTTATATTTCAGAAGTTCATTGATGAGAAGAGGCTAGGAAAAGCTTGAACCAATTCCTACAGAATGAATACTAGTGCAATTGAAATTCTTGGTGAGTGATACATTTGTATATTGATAAGACCGTTCACTATTTTTTGAGGCTCGATCTCACCCTTGGAAGAACCATATCGCCGGGAGAAAACATGAACCAGAATAGAAGAGCTTGCCCCACTCATGAGTCAACATTTCATAGTAGCCTCACTAGATTGCTCTAATAGCGCTGATAAATTTAATATGTGCATTAAGAGACGAAGATTTCTTATTCCACAGCAATGGAAACAATTTTTCTCTCTTTCACTCCTGATCATCGGCCGACCAATGCCTGCACAAGGTTTGTCCAACTTGACAACCATAGAACTTTAGTTGAAAAAATATTTTTAATATGTGAGAATGTTTCTGGGAACTGAATCAATATTGAATCTATTGTTCTGTTTCGCAGAGCATAGAAAAATATAGGCATTTCCTGGCATTAAAATGATATCACTTTATCTCATGGCACTACCTCAAGGCATTCCTTTCAGCATATTTTAACTTGAACTTGTTTCCTTTCATCCTTTTTATTGTCATCTCTTTTTGCTTACAAGTGGCAGGTATGTGCCCATGTTTCTTTTCCCTTTAGCCAGGGTTGTGGCATACCTCTTCCATGTGCTTGAGGCTACATTCACTGCGCTAGAAGATCTTAACAAACAAGCCTTCTTGACTGAATTGGTACCAATTTCTCGTCTGCCATCTTTGTGACCCTTAGTTAATTTTTTTTTCTGCTACTAATTTCTTCTGTCATATCTGGTTATACTGGCATACGTGCAAATCTCTGATAGACCTGCCATTTTGTCTGAGATTTTCCTTTTAGTTCACAACCATCATAGCTTGTCATGGACTCATGGTACATGTTCCCATCAGCGCCTGTGACCGAGCTCTCCATTTAGTTTGATGGTCATGATTTTATTTGTGGGAAAGAGTTGTTGCATGCATTTAACATTTGGTTAATAAGAATTATGTGCATTTTGCTATAAAATAAATTACAAAAAATTGGTCAGGCATTCACTAGAAGTAGCGCAAATGATTGACATATGTTAGAGACTATTATGAATCCATTAAATTGCTTTTTCTCCATATGTGAAAAGTAAAGTGAGAGCCCCAGTTGTGTAATTGTTGAAAGTTCCAAAGTTGAAACATTTAGGACTTGGAGGTTAAATAGGCTCACAGATTTCCTGCTTGCTAATTTTTTTTGGTAAATTCTATACAATAGCATATCGTGTTTTCTTGTTCAAGCTTGTGTAGGAAGTGGAGAACAGGTTGCTGACTCGATTTGATGCAGCATCACAGAGAAGAGAATTGTCTACCATGGCAGAGTGTCCTAAAATTTTGTCTCAGGTTTTTTCGGTGATGTTTATTTGTTCATTTCACGATATGACTTTTTTCTCTACAAATAGAAATTGTGCAAGATGCATGTTAGGGAACACATAAATTACTAAAGAATGGAAATGTTAATCAACCTAGATTGTAGATGCCTTATACTGAACCATCAACTTGTTGAATCACCTATACTGCTATGGTTTCCACAATCTCCACCAGCTAATGAAAGAAATACATAGGATTAGACTCCTTCCCCTAAATTCCCAGCTCTTGGACACAGCTTTAACCAAACCTGGTACTATATGTGCAACACCTAGCAAACACACAGCTGGCACTTTTTTTTTATTTTTTTATAAGAAACAAACTTTTCATTGATAAGAACCAAAAAAAGGTGCAGGGTGAACAAGTAGTCCAACCCTCAAACAAACAAAAAAAGAGCAAAAACCAAAAACGAAGCAGTCGTCAAAAGAAAATTATCTTCCACACGATGCCATCCAACTTGAGGTAATACTTTCGAACTCCTTTGTAACAGAGGCCCAAAAATATGCATGGAAATAAATTCAATCCCACATCTTTTTTATCTTCAAAAATTCTAGCATATCTTTCCATCCAAATGACCCACACTATTGCAAAGAAAGCACAATTCCAAAGAACATCACCCCTTTCACCACCACCCAAACCTTTATATTCAATCAAAAACATTGAGGCATGTTTGGTAGTTCCATTTCAAAAGGTGAATCATAGAAGCTAGAGTATTTTTGTTTCCTAGGCATGCTAGACAATGCTTTAACTAGAAGGCCAATTTGCATGGCCTTTCATAGACACTTTGGTAATGCTTTTTGTAACGTGGTGAGGGCGAACAGATCTGCATATTTACCCACCTTTTTTTGGAATTCATTTATACTTTTTAATGTTTTGAAAGAATTGACTAACACTAACTACTCCAGACTCCAACTTGGAAAAGAACAAATATTTGAAAGTATATTTTTGAGTGTGGGCATTCTGAGATTTAAACAAGGCAATTTAAACTTTCTACTTCTGTTGTTCTTGTTCTACTTTTTCCCAATCTTCTTATGGTTTCTTCAATTGCATCTAATTGTCATGTTTTAGTTTATTGGTTTGTGTTGCAAAAACTGGATCTGATTTTTGATATGTTCCTTCTGTTGCTTGTAATAACTCCAACATGCTCATGAACAGAAATACTATCTTGGAAACCATACAATGCTATAGAATTTTCTGTCTTTTTTCACCTTCACATATGGATAGATGAATGCATTCAGATAAGGGGTTTATCTGGTTTTCAAAAGATTCTGTGTGTCAAGGATTTAATATTGATTCATTGTGATTGTAGACTACTGTTTCAATTTGCTACTTTCGGTATAGGATGGAACTCGGTAAGTTTTTAAAGAACTGTGATAATCTTTAGGGAAGTTTTTTCCTTTCCTCTTCTTTCCTTATTGATTTGCAATGCAGTTCAACAAGGGTACTGGTGCCATGCAACATTATATTGGATTATGCCCAATGTTTGACATGGAGGCCATGAATGCAGACTCAAGATTAGTTCTGGATTACCAGCGTCCCCAACCTAGTTTGAAGTACTATCCTTGATCTGTTCAAAGTTGTTGTGTCTTTTCATTGATCTTGATTTAATGGTTAAGATTTGTTGCGGATTCTGTGTGAAAAGAAGCAGCTACCATGACGGTTGTTTTCCTTATCCTAATGATGTATGCCAATTTTGGTTCAGGTATTTCATGATGAACACCTTTCATTTTGTTCCCATGGTTTTGGTGTTGGTTCATTGTATTGGAGTGGATACCAGGATGGTATTGGTTGGTGATCTCACAGTTGTGAACAATGTTCTGTGTGTATGCAGCAAAATTTGGAGGACAGAATTCCAAAACTTCTCAAGAAGCCATTGGTGAAGAACCCATCTCTTGTGAATCCACCTCCTATGGAAGAATGCAGACTTCTCTTGGTTAAATTACTATGACTGCAATTTTCAACCCATTCGAACGTAACGCCATTTTTATATTTTTATTCAATTGGATTTGCCTGTTGTTTCATTACCTGCGAATGCTAGCTGTGACATGTGAGAAGACACAGGAACTTTCTCAAGACTTGCATGTTGTGGGGAGTGGTGACTTGGATGTTGAAGGTATGAATTAACTCCAAACTAACACTGGATTCATTTTGGATGAATTGTCTGGACATTTTAATTAATAGTAGATCCTTCATTGATAAAAGGAATACACCCGGTGGGGAAGGACTGAGAAACAAATGGTAGCTTTTTTTATTTTAATTTGCTAGAATCCATAGTGATAGACATCGAAAAGAATAGTAAAACGAACACTCCTATGGAAGAACATGATGCAGGAAATATCTCTATCAGTACTGTATGATGGGATTTAGTACCCATGATTTATTGTCAAACCATGAAATTTCCTTTCACGTAATCGTTACATATTTTGCGACTGACCTGGTAAAGCTAGGGGCTTCTCCAGGTTGGGAACATGCATCTCCAAGAGGATGAGTGAGCGCAACATAAACAATTGTAAAGAAAAGAACTGTAAAGAATAGAAAAGGACTAAAGTATCCCAAGAGAATTAAAGCCTTAAAATGCAAGAAAGTTGTAAATGTGCTTGATATATTTGAGATAGTGTTGGCTTGGTATTTGAGGTATGTGACGTGTTTTTTGCTTTCATCAACTGCTGTCTTCTTTATCTGCATCTCTTATTTTTTGGGGGGTGCACTACTTATGAATGAAATAATGGTAATATTGGGTTTTTTGTTCTGAATCATAAGTAGTGGCAGCCATTGTGTGTTTGTTTTTGGTATATTATCATGTGTGTGCCTTTTTTTACTTTTGGGTGTCGGTGTGTATTTAATTGGGGAATTCATGTGTGTTTTTGTAAATCAGTGTGTTTTTTATGGTGCATTATATTTGTGTTTTTTTGCTTTTATCATCTGGTGTCTTCTTTATCTGCATCTCTTATTTATTTATTTTTTTGGGGGGGAGGGGGGGGGGGGTACTACTTATGAACGAAATAATGGTAATATGGGTTTTTTGTTCTGAATCATAAGTAGGGGCACCCATTATATGTTTGTTTTTGGTGTATTACCATGTGTGTGCCTTTTTTTTTTTTTGGGTGCCAGTGTGTATTTCTTTGGGAAATTCATGTGTACTTTTGTATATCAGTGTGTTTTTTATGGTGCATTTATGCATTATATTTGTGTTTACTTAATGAATTTGTTTGTTTTTTATGTGCATAGTGTGCATGTTTATTGCTGTATAGTTTTTATGTTATCAATGTCCTTATGCGTGTGCTTTTTATGCATCAGTGCATATATTTTTATTATGTGTATTCACACATATTTTTAGTATGTGGAAGGAGAAACTACTTAACCATGCGGGGAGGGAAGTACTTATCAGAGCAGTAGTTGAAGCCATACCTACTTTATGCCCTATCCATTTTTAGATTCCCCAAATCCTTTTGTCAAGAAATTACATCTACCGTGGCTAGATTCTGGTGGAGTAAGACTAATGGGGACAGGAGTATTTTTTAGTGTATTAGGAATTAGGATGTGTTTTATTTGGTATAATAGTAGTATGTGTTTATATTTAGAGTTTGAGTTATTTTACGGGTTAATGAGTTTTAATACAACCCGTTATGATTCAACCCATTATAACCGTTTATTAAGCAGGTTGAAAATGGATTTGATTTGTTTTGCACCTAACCTAATTTGAACTAGCCCATAACCAACCCAACCCCCCATTTGCCACCGCTAACTACGACCAAGGCTGAATGTAGGAGTGGCAATCCATATCAATTAATAACCAATTCACCCACAAATTAGCGGGTTGAGTAACCAATTTATTTTTGTAGGTTGTAAACGGGTTGGTAATGCTAGTTAAATTAATAAAGTGGGTTAAATATGGATGTCCAATGGGTTGAACATAAGTAAGTACTCATTTTGAACCACCACTACTCCCTATTGCAAATACCACCACCATCATCCTAATAGGACTATTCTCCAGTAAGACTGCACTCTTTAACGGCTAACTGAAGATTGTACTTATACATATCAACCAGCTGAAGATATATGCTCCCGTAGATCACTCAAAGTCAATGTTGTTTAAATATCGATATATTTCTCAAAGTCTATATTTATTGATGTATTACTGTTTGTATTTGTTTTATTTTGTGTTCTTTATTTTTTTTATCAATTTTTATTGTGTATCAGTGTCTTATTTTTCTTCTATAGTATGTTTTTAAGTGTGTTTGCTTGTGTCTAGTGCGTGTCTATAATGGTGTGTCTTTGTTTTACTTGGGGCTTGTGTATTTTTTATTAATGTGTTTTTATGTGCACAGTGTGAGTACTTGGCAAAAAGAAAGATGTAAGGGGGAATGGTTTTCAAGGGTTTGGAGAAGTTCAATCAAGCATTGCTAGCCAAACAAGCATGGAGATTAATACAGAATCCTGAGACTCTAAGGGCAAGAATCTTGAAGGCAAAATACTTTACCAGAAAATCTGTATGGCAAGCTACACCAAGGGCTGCAAATTCATGGATATGGAAAGGTATAGTTGAGGGGAGGGACTTGGTAGCAAGGGGTGGCATCTGGCAAATAGGAGATGGAAGCAGACTTGGTTGTTGGAAGGACAACAGGATCCCAGGTCACCCAAGAATGTCAAATACAACTAACTGTGGCATAAGCAAAGTCTCAGGAACTTATAAAATTCCCTCAGAAGCAATGGAATGTTGCATTAGTTCAAGAGGTTTTTCCCAAAAAATGTGGCAAATGGAGTAGGAAAAGATGCCATCATCCTCTATGCTCAACATGTGGAGAAGAAGAGGATACTGCAGAACACGTGTTTCTACTTTGCCCTTGGACAATGTCAATATGGGAGAACTCATCTATACAGCTTACCATTGATAGGTGCAAAGAAAACTAGAATAGAAGACTGGCTGATGTATAATCTACAAGAGGTCAAGGCAAGAGAACATGAGAACACATGGGCCAATCCCGTGTCCTACATGTTATGGTCCATATGAAAGGCTAGAAACGAAAAGGAGCTTTTGGAGTTGTTGCTAGAGATGTACAGGGAAAGTCTGGAACTGGAACAATCAAAGCAAGTTCTCCCTTGGTAGAGGCCTGCACAGGTAAAGAGGGTGTAGGATTGTAAGATTTCATATTATTTTTTGAATATA